GCAGTTAAATGTTATCGCGACCTCATTTGCAATACTTTAACAAATAAATCAAAACCTAATAAATTGCTCAAAATGAAACAAAAATATTTAAAAGAAAAACAAAAATATTTTGGATGAACAAAAAATATCATATAAATTTTATTTGATCAATACCCAAAAGATATTCGCTTATGGGATGAATGCCTCAAAAATCCTATCATAAATGTTATTAGGCTGAAATCAGGCACTCATTAGCAAATTAATACTACCACCGTTTAAAATTCATTTGTGGCAATCCGAGCTTCAAAGCAAAATCGTTGAAGACTAAATCCGGGCACACGATCATTGCAACAAAATATCGACATAGCCATAAATTAAATATTTGCAAAAATGTTAACCGACAAATATGAACACTTCGGACCCTGCGGGTATGTTAAGGTATGAGAAGTGCGCTTTTAACAGCATCTGTAACACCAAATATTGCTACAGCAAAGCTAACAACACCAACAACACCAACAACACTAACAACAGCAACAACAACTGCGAGAGAAGCAGCAAAGCGCTAAATGATCAATCGTCGCGATCACTTTTCGATTTGTTGTTGTGTTTACATATTTTTTTTTGCCGTAGTTTTAGTTTTTATTGTTATTGTTCTTCCTATTCTTTGTAGTGTGTTTTTGTTGTTACTGTAGCAACAAGAATTTATTGTTTTTGTTGTGTTCAGATAGTTAAATCATAAAGGCTCGAATTACGCTCTTGGCTTCTTTTTGAATAAAATAAACGATGATTGTGAGATGTCGACAATTAATTTCAAAGTCTCTGATCTTTCATTTTTGCCTATGATCAACATATCTTTCGTTGACTCTTATGTAGCTAATATTGTTCTTATTGTTTTAAATAAAGTAAGAAACTGGGATTGGGAACTCATTAAGAAGCTGAAATCACAAATTTCCTTAAACGATGGATTTTAAATACATTTATTTAGTTAGGCTAGATCAATAAAAATCTTTGTATTGCCATATAATCGCAGTAATTTTTTTACAGCCTATTAAACAATTCAATACCACCGACAAATCGTCTATGTATATGGAATCCATATCCATATTAAGGATAGTTGATCGTTTCTAACAATCATCTGAGTTATATATAAAAAATGTTTGGCCTATTTTTAGGAAAAGCAGACGCAGTGACCGAAAAGATGTTCAATATAACACTTCATCGAGTACTTATAGGAAAATATTGATATGTATTAAAATATAATGAGCCACATAATTTTGCGTTATATTTCTATATGCTGGTACCTATATCGTATCGCTTAAAAAAGCAAAGTGGGAACCCTGTAACAAACAAAAAGATCAACAGAAATAAAAAAAATACAAAACAATGTTTCAATAATATTAAAAATGAAATTCAAACAACGATGGCTTAATATGCGTACTTATATAAATATAATTTACTGAATAAAAACAAAGCTAATTAAGGAATGTTAAGAGGCAATTAACGAATTAAACTGAATAGCTGACATCACTCTCATCCGGGTCCATGAACATAGGAACGTTGCAACTTGCAAGGAATGAAAATTCGAACAATTTGATCCAACTTATTACTTCCATAGATGTATTCCTAGGTATACCAGTTTATGTTCTTCTGGAGTACGTAAAGAAAAGTACTTACCTCTACTTGTTCAGCTTGTCAATAATAAGTGAACGACAGTTGGGTCCTATGTAAGATGGCCCTCATATAACAAGACAACATCTTGAAAACTCATTACAAGAAACCAAGAAATGTATGGCTTCTTGCAGTCTTCACTGGTCACTGCTGTATAGAAAATCAATCAGAGAAGCATTCTTATTAATACTCATTGTAGAAGTTGTATGTTAGTAACTTACAGGAAAACCAAATACACATTTTCTCTATGAATGTCCAGCTTTGGCCTCCAGAAAATATAGATTGAGATATATATGAAAAATGCTCGGACTGCCACTGTGCAAATGAAATACTGTAAAATGTGTGCCTCATGTTAATGTCCACTGCTTAATAGGATCCAACGTTTTTCGTAACTTTGTTGCTTATTATTTACGTACAGTAAAAAAATATTGAATAAGCTTTTTATTTTTAAATAAAAAGACTTAATGGAAAGCTAAACTATTTCGTGACCTGGCAGAGATTTGGCACCACTCATTTTTATTTTCCTCTGCAGTCACCCTACTTTGCCTCACCTCTAACGTTGTTATTGCAATCGTTATTGATTTATTTATCATTCTTCACATTTAGAGTGAATTATTAATCTATGGATCTTTTAATCATTACGATATATTACTTTGTGCACACTTTTAGCATGGTCATTACTTCATAGACTCTATTTAATATTAAGTATTACTGAAATAAAACTTTTACGTGAGTACCAATGCCTACGGGAATGTTGTTTCTTGTCTCAAAAATTCCAGAGACACTCTTCGAACCAGCGCAATATAGGGTCTCAAATTTAAATTAAATTTAACTTTAGTTTTAGTCATATTATTTTTTTTTTTAATTTTAGTTAGTAAGTCTACTGATGTTGTTATCCTTAGCGTTTTCCTATTAATTTTTTTTTTATTACTTATTTTTTTTTATTATATTGTCAATTTAACATTTCATCCATGTTTTAATTGTACTTTCTTATTTATCTTAAGTGTAGTTTTTATTGATATTCTTTTTTGTTATTGTCATTAAAAATGTTCTGGTTTTGCTGTTCTGGTTTATTTTGTTTTTGTTAATTTTTTTATTTATTGGTTTCATCTGTTTATTATTAAAATTGTATTTTTAAAATTTTTTACCATATTATTTGTTAATCTTTTTATTTTTTTTTATTATATAAATATAATAATATATTTAATATTATATATTTGATTATTATATATTTTATATTAAATATTTTTCTCTGTTCTTTTTCCTCTTTTTTTTAAACATATTTTCCATGTCATGAAAACTTGATTATCGACTCAATTTGTTTTTAAATTTATGGATTTATTCTTTTTTGTTTTTATTAAAAAAAATTTTTTAACCATAATGTTATGAGTTTTTTTCGACACCTTTCCAGACAATTCTTTTTCTATATTAAATGTATAATTATAAGTATTTTGTATACTTATAGTTATTATAAACACTCATCACTTTTTTTTATTATTAAAACCATTATAATTTGTAACTGGAAGAAATAAAATATTGTGCACTGGAGTCTTTTTAATTTTTGAATAATTTTTACTTTCTCACAATAATATAGATATATTATATCTATATATTTAATATACACATATCTACGTATCTATATATTTAATAGTGACAATAGGAGTATATTGAAGCATTTATTCTCCAGCAATTTTTTCAAAATGAAAATGTGTGTTTATTTTTCGGATTTATGTTTTGTATTGCTGCTCTATACACATTTTCTATTATTTAACAATTGGTTATTATTTAACACTAGAGTAAATAAAGATAAACTAAAAAACAATAATGTTGTTCTATATCCGGGTACCCGGGTTTACTAATATTAATTAAATATTTTAATATAACCAAGTGAACTTTAGAATTTCTTTTTATTATATTCTATGTTTTCATAACTATTCTATTTTTATAACTATTCTGGATAAAAAGTTTTAAGTCTGATCGTTATTAATTTCTTTTTGTTTGGAATCAAAATTTATAGGTACTACACACAGTTTTTATATTTACTTTTTCTACTTACCTTTAACTAATATTATCTTAAAAATAATGAGTTAATAGATATATACTCGTAGAACGGTTTGATGGGTTTTCCGGGTTTTTAGTCAAATAGAAGTATAAAATCTTTGGTGTATGGGTGACTAGGTGATAAAAAATGAAAAGATATTTTATATTATATTATATCACTATATCAGGTGGTAATCTGTGTAACGACATTTTCTTGCGGTCGTTTCGTTTTGCTGGGGTATCCTCAACCTATCCAGAATCGTCACAATAAATTTCTAATTGTGACCAAAATACTCAAAGACGTTATTTTGTTTATTAGGTTTATAATTTATTATAATAAAAATTTTATAATTCGAGAAAAATTAGACAATAATGAAGTATTTAAATATGTTATTATTATGATGAATACCAATCGATCCGGTGCACAGTAATAGTCGTGAATATCCTGGTGTAGATCTTGTGTTGGTGGTGTTTTCTTCGAAACTGTTATTTTAAAGTGTGTAACAGCCGATCGTATATAGACAAGTTTAGTTTGAATACTTCTTTATCTCGAAGTACCCTTTTGTTTATTATGCCTTCAGTTGAATAAATCCTTATATAGAAATATTGTTTCGTATTTAACTTGGAATTATTATTATTTATTACAGTAGGTGTACTACATCCAATCGTAATGATATAATTACTGAATGTAAGCTAATCCTTCGTGTAAATATATACTGATATGGATATATTCCTTTGTATTTTGATTAAAAATTATTTCATTTGCAGTAGGCGTACTACAGCCGATCGCAATGTAATTATTTTAAATACAATATATTCCTTCGTGTAAATAATTTCTTTATATCGAAATTTTCTATGTGCAACTAGTGCCAATTTCAACTTGTAATCCCCAGGAGTATGTGCCTTAGTAAACATTTTACAAGTCGCCGTCTGAACAAAAATGCGCGTCTTAAACACTCAACCAACCGAGCTTTTTTGTAGCGTATCATTTTATTTACAGCTGATCTCACGCAAGTCTTGTTTACTTTGCCGTTCTGCTTGTGCACTTTACGTCTCTTTGAGTTTCTCTTGCGGTGAATATTTTTGGCAGTTCTTGTTTTCTATTCTGCTGTTTTGTTTTGATTATTGCAAAATGTGATTAAAAATGCATTCGGTGCATCTTTTGATTTTTTTAATTTAGTTTAATAAATATTAATTTAATAAATATAAAAATTAATTTAAAAAAATAGAAATATAATTCATAAATAAATCAGCTAAGTGTATGATTCATTTAATTAATTATATTTTAAATTTTTATCTCAATGTAATTGCAGATCACTTGGTTATGTTGTGGGTGCATCGTGCAATTAGTTTAATGCGGGGTGGATTTTGGTGAGTAGCTTATAATAAATATGATAAATATTTATTAAATGAACTTTATTGCAGATATCTTCAACATTTGTTACCAGTAAATGTTATATTAGATGTTGTGTTGTGTATAAAATGAATAAAACTGTGTTGTGATATTATTTTTGTTTTTTTAGTTCATTGTAATGTTTGTACCAAAGTGATGTGTCTAATGTATATAATATATAATGTATATTTATGTACATCTGTACCAATCTGTATTGGTCAAACCTATATTTTATTCGTTTCAATAAAGTTAATACGCAATACGCTTAAGCACACAGTCTTATAAATCTGTGTTAATTTATAATATATTAGCCCGTATACTTAACAGGTATAAGTCAGAGATAAACTCTGTAGTCAATAAATAATTTTTATCTTACACCAATAAAATTAGATTAGATTAGATTCTCATTTAAACTACTGATATATTTTATGTTATTCATGTATAGCCAATTTTCAACACATTTTTATATCAAAATATATCGGAAAACATGAGAACTGATGACGCTTCTACAAATTATATAACTTACACCCCAATTAAAGCATTTAAACTGCTATTCGGTACAATAAGGTTGGGAACATTCTATTTATAAAATATTAATAATTTCTTCAAACTCTTTAAGTGTAGAATAGCACTTTTTAATAGTACTTATTTATGATGTTATGCAATAATCACAGCAACAAAAACCAAACGTTTTTTTAATAAGTTAAATTTAGCTTCAAGTTCATGAATAGTAAACAAATAATGTTGATATATTAAGATCTTTAATACTACAACCGGCAGTAACCGATTATAAAGCATTTAGCGTTTCTTTATGAAATTCAATAAATAATTTTTTTACCCTGCTCAAATTAGATCCATCCAAACTACTGAAATATTGTTTGGAGTTTTGGGTGGTCACTGGTGTATAGGAACCCACGCAGAAAAACTGCTCATTCCTATAAATACTCATTCTAAAAGTTGTGGAAAAGAATCAATTAAGCATCCAGAGAGTAAAATAAAAATAAAATAAAATTTTCCGACAAAAACAAAAACCTACAAAATATCTATATTTACCAACGGTTGAATAAGTTATTCGCCAAGATAGACGTAATTCCGAGAGAGCCTCAAGTCTGATCCAAATCCTCATGTTCGACATTTTTCTTCTGCACCTACACTTAATCGTCTTAAAAGAAAATCATTGATAAATACGATTACTCTAGCTCAATAGCATAAATGTTAGTTTTTTAAGATTCGTAAAATTATTGCAAATTTTTTACTTATACTTATAAAATGATGAAAAATTGAGTGTTAATTGTAAACAGAATTTGTAATGAAATTATTGAAATTTAAAAAGAAATTCGTTCACTTTAATAATTATAATGTAATAATGTGGAAAAATAAATTAATTTTCTCTCACCATACTTCGCTTAATTTATAGAATGAGAATACTTGGTAGATGGTGCAATTATATACTATATAGACAAATTTAAGCTTATGTTTATTTTTATATAATGTGTTTTATTTTTAATATTAACAACACATAACTTTGTACAAATAAAACCATTTTCGTAATAAGGATAAAGGCTTATTTAACAAAAACTTTTTCTGATAAGTTGGGAAAAGTTTTGCAACCATCTTCTTCAACCCTTAATGAGGTTTACAAAATAATAGTAATTTCTTAAGGCTTTTATTTGAGCCAAGATGTGCGTAAAAGAATTTATCTTTTAGTTTAATTAGAAGGTAAGGTTTTATGATATATGTACGTCTCATTCCGTTTCAGTATATTAAATGTGAACGTTTGTAGGTGGATGAAAATTATTTAAATTATACTAATATCTTTTCAATTTAAATATATTGATAGTAACATTTAAAATAAAACATTTTTATTCTTTATATACTTTAGAAACTTCCATCAATTCCAGTTTGATAACTTCTCTAGCTAAAATCTTAAAACGCACCTAAATAAAATGTTCACAGAAAATGCAAAAATAAATTCTCGGCTTTCAATTTCTTAATGAAAAATTTCTATTTTCCTAGTTTCACTGCTTTTGGCAGGTAAAATTCTGCCTGTTAAATTCTCGACAATTTACGAAATTAAATATTTCAACTTCAAAAGATGAATGAATTATGTGTATTGGAAGTTTGAGCTGGCGAATTAATCAATTTCAATGTAAAAAAAATGTGGGCCGTTAGTGATAACTCATTAAGTAATTATTATTATAGAAAATCAGTAAAATAAATTCTTGGTACTATTAAATATTACAAAATTTTAGATCAAATATTTGTCAAAACCTAATTAAGGTTTTAAATGAATTACTGAACTTTCTATTTATATTGTCAGCCCAGTAAATTAAAATTAAAAACAAAAAAATTTGAATTATTGTAATTACATCTTTCTACCTTATTTGATGAAAATAAATAAACTAAAACTCCTTCTTCCAGCTTTCAAACATTCGCCACTAATCTAGGTATACTCTACTTCCTGAATTTAAACCATTTGTTATAACATTCCTACACTTTACTCGGCACATCTCTAAACACTGATTTCTAAATATTGCAATAGGTTCTTATGTCTACCATAAATAATGAAACAAAAAAAAGTTATTGAGTTTCGAATCAAGACTATGTGAATGATGACCCATGTTTTTGATATTTTGACTTTCAAAAAATCAAATGCTGTGCTAATATGTGAGAGATCTTATTATCACGATGAGAAAAAGACGTGAGATATTTTTAAATTTCCCGAATACTTCTGGCAAGTGTATAGTTTTCAGAATAGATAATTTGTTCCAATCCAAAGAAGTATGTCACATGCAAATTTTGCATTATTTGCTTTTGGACAGAATAAATTTTTTTCTAGTACAACAACTTATTTCAAACACAATTACTACTATTTCAGGCACTATCAAATACTCTATTCCAGCATTTTATAGTTCAAAAGGATATATCTAAATCGTCAGTTCAATCAGCCTCTTCCACAGAATATGCAGACATTCGCTTCTGCATTTTCCACTTGCGACATAACAAAATTCTGCGAGTGATTTTTCCCTTTCATGAAATTGTGTTCACCTTAAAGTCTATTTGGACTATTATTAACTATATCAACCTAATAGTATCGCCTCATATTTCATCATGATACACTGAGAGAATAAGATTACAGACGTAAGTAACAGTAACCTCCTTCAGCCAACCAGAGCAGTGGATTGCCATCGACAGTTGATAGTATAGGGTCTCTTCATATCGTTGGCCACCTACTCGTTTTAATTAATCAAACACCTTTCTAGCTGCAGCATTTTCTTCCATTCGCACGACATGATCAAGCTAGTGAAACACTTGAATTTTTATGCGATTGATTCCCCATAAAATATTAAAATGGTTAACTTAACTCATTACAAATTAATTTATTGGATAAATTAAAATTACACATGCTTTTATGTAAAAGCCAAAGCTTTGGGATACAATATTGAGATTTATTTTTGCATATATTCTATAAATAAACTCTAGCATTTCAGATTCTATCGTCATAGAATTTAGCAGAAATCCAAGTTATATATATATTTCAAAGTATTTGTCTTACTATAGGAAATAATATTATTATCATAATTATGTTATTTTTATATAATTTAAACAAATTCGTTTATCTTTTTTACTAACTATGGAAATATGCAAGAAAATGTAACTTTTAATTTCATGAATAATTAAATATTTATTATTTACGGACTTAACAATTTTTAATATAATTGTTTTCTCAGGTTAATTGGTCAATTTTCTTAAAAAAAAAAAAGTCAGGACTTTAGTTCTGATGATGACTATAGACTTAAGTAGCAATTAGATTAAATAAAAATTATGATTAAATAATTCCTTTAATTTTAATAAAAATAAAAAATTGATTAATTACCATATAAAACCATTATATGAGTAACTAAAGCAAACAAAATCGATTTGCTAATTTTCTAAAACATTATCTTCCATAATCAAATATATTACATTACAATTTCAGCATTTCAAGTGCTATTCGGTAGTTTAAAGTTTCGAAAACTCTATTTATAAAAATGATTCATTTCTTCACAATATTTTAGAGCAGAATAGTGCTTTTCAATAGTACTAACTTTATATATTATGCAATAGTCACATTAACAAAACCAAAACATTTCTTAAATATACAAAATTTAGTTCTAAGTTTATGATGAATATGGATTTACAGTTGATTTCTTGAGATCTTTAGTACAACAATTGAGCTTAAATGAATATTTGGCAATTGGGTTTTCTTTACGAAATGAAAATAAAGAATGTTTTTTTTTTATCAAAATGATCATAAATAAATTTTTTTGTGAATTATTTTGTAAAATGTTGCAAATGTAGTTAATTTTTCTTAAAACTAATTAATTCTTAAAATTTCAAGAGTTTTTGTATAAAGAGTTAGGTGTCTGTATATGTGAGAATTTTATATTGTTAAAAAGTTAAATCCATAAAATACTCTATAATACTATAATATATACTATAGTACTATAATTTTCCATATAATACCTATAATACTCTTTCTTTACGAAGATCAAAATGTGTCCTGTAGAAAAGTTCCAGCAATATGAAATTCACGTAATTGAAATCAGCGTGTCTTCTAATTAATTTATATTATATTTAAATATGGAACCAAGAGATTCTTGCGAAACTAAACTAAATAAATGAATTTAACTGTTGGATAAGATAAGATTTCATTTTCTTAGTAAATTAAATGTTAAATTATTTTTCTCTAAAAACTTAATTTAATATTAACAATTTTGTTATAATACTCAAAAGTAATTTTATTTTTAAACTTATCATTTAATATGGAGTTTATCAAATATATTTCTTATTTCCTCTTAAAATGGTATCACTAATAAAATGCTAAAATAATAAAATATAATATAATACATCAGAAAAATGTGTTAAATATCATATAACTTTCTGGCTTTTTGAGATATACAAAAAAATCTAAACTTAACCTTGTTTGGGCCCAAATTAAAAGAAGTTTCCGTAAGCCCATTGGTGTCAAAATACATGCATTCAAAGTAAAGCCCGCTTTACTGGTTCAGAAAGTACCGAATTTTGATGGTATAATTTTAATTCTGCCACACTGTTTGTCGGTATGATCGTTTTAGGGAGATTGGGGGGCTAGAGCTGAAACATTTGATGGACCCTGATTGTTAAATTAGATAACATAGTCATTTTTAATTACTGAAACTATTATTGAGCATAACTGAAGAAAGTCTACTTTCGAATTAAATTTCTGGTTGGACGTAGGGCATCCGACATCATAATACCGAGCTTCAGCATTTAAAAGCATACCAGACAATTTTCAATGCTATAAATTTTCTCTATATAAATAAATATTATTACACGTATGTCAGATTCATTAAATGTATGAGCATAATTTATACTAAATTTATTTTATAAATATTGTAAGTAATTTTATGATTTACTACTAAAAAATCTTAAATTAATAACAAAAATCTAACATAAAATAAATTTTACAAAAAAATGCCGGTTTTTAACCCTTTTGTATGTACAAAATATACATAAAAATTGTTGTATCTTAAAAAAAATGAAACGTACATAAAATTTAAGCTGAGCTCCATTCTCCCACCCATCATTTTACGTTATGCACACGAATACATTCAAAAAAAAATATTCACTCAAATATTTTCTCTTTTTTCACTGCGATGTGCTCTCAACGAAGGGGAGCTACTTCGGTTTCACCGTTCCAAAAGAAGGTGAACAACTCATTCTGCCTGCTTCACTTCAGACACATCGACGACATTTGAGTTTGCTTCATTCATTTCGGTTTACTGGAAGAGCAGGAATAGTGCAAATTTATGCTCAAATTTTTCCGTAACATGGAAATGCCCTTACATTTTTTCTCATATTTTCATTTTGGCTGGTTTTCCTTTTCTTTATTTCATCTTTTTTAATTTGTTATTTATTTATGTGGTATGGATATTTTCATATTTTATTCACTAATTCCAGTGCATATTGTATTTTTGTATGCAAATTTTATAAAATTTTTATTAATTATGTGAGTACATTTATATTTTATCTTTTTGTGAACTTTTTCTAGTTTCTAGAAATTCTTTAAAGATAAAGCAAAATAAGAAATAGCAAATTCACAGAATAATGACACTTTAAGCATATATACAAAATAGATTTAAGTTTAAAAAATTTAATTTTCATTACAATTTTACTTACAAGAAATATGAAACAGCAATATAATATTATAATAATAATAAGTAAAGTTCAAGAACAACTAGATAATAGTGCTCTAACTTCCCTACTTATATGTATTATAATATTAAGTTTCTTCTCAAAATAATTCTCAAATACTGAGCTTTACTAGCAACTACTTCGCTAGCTTATGCGCCCAGTGGTGAATGAAGACGAGGTTCTAAACAAAAAACTGTTTAATGAGGTAGTCGGAAGAAGAAAACGTAGAGGAAAGATGGAGTAGTAATCTTTATTTTAAAAGAAATAATACAAAATATGGTACATATATATAAAATATAATACAACCCTAAGTCAATAAATAGCTTTTACCTTTCTTAAAATTAATTTTCAAATCATTATTCTTAAAACAACCAATTGCATATAGTATCTATTATGTTATATCAGAACAGTCTCTTAAACATTACTGGCAAATTATTGTTATTGAGCTTTTAATAATATCTCTTGATTTATATTATCACAGACCTGATCTGGTTCAATATGACCTAGATGGTTTTTCATTGCGGAGGAACTGAACCCCCATTGAGAAGGAGGAACATAATGCCTACTATATAATCTTTATTGCATATTGTTAATATATTATTTATTTGTTTTTCATTTGTAACTGAAATTGTAATCGGATTCAGAAATAAATAGTCTTACATATTTTCAAAATCAATAGTAAGAATTATTCACGATATGATGAGAAAGAAATTCAATCAACTTGAAAATGTGGGCTATATTTATACAGTAAATTATATTAGATATAAATAGTATATAAATAAAAACTATAAAAACTAACATATTTCAGTGATTTCATTGAGACAAAGATTTACAGAAGCCTTTTAAAAACAAAAATAAATTAATATTCTAATTGATCTCAGATCTATTTGGACTGAGAGACTAAGATTCAACACTTTTCTTGTTGTCTCGAATTAATGGTTCGTAATAACTAAAACGTTTTTAGGCCAAGTCCTAATTACTGTAAATTAATGTAAACAACTTGCTGTTACTGAATGGAGTAACATACATTCTTTACTATTAATTTAGTCATCGTTTTTTTTAGAGCGTCATAATCACATTGGCAACCCTAAGTAGCCTAAGCTCGTTTGTTCGAATGAAGGGGACATATGCTTAAGGATCACTTGATGGTTCGGTCCTAATTTTACAATCAATGACTTCGCCTTATGTCTGCACATCGAAGTCAAACTACTTCTTTAAAGATTTTTATCGATAGGAAAATCCGTTTATATGTTCTAAAACAAATTATAACGGAGGAGGAGATCTCCCGGAGGGGCTGAAGTTAAGTTTTTGAAGAACATTTTTAGGTGCATTTACATTTACTATAGCAATGATTTAATTTATTCAGTAGGCGTAAGAGACTGGCAGGTTTTATTTTTTGACAATAAAATATTATGCTATATATTTTATATATTTATATATATTATGCTATATATTTATTTATATATATATATATATATATATATATCTTTTTCGCCAATAAAATATTACAAACTAATAAGTGTAAATAAAAACTTCCGGTAACAGCACAAAAAATAAAGTTTAAAAATTTTTTAAACACGTTATAATAATATGTAATAAATATTACTAAGGAAGCAGAGCATTTATTCTCAGTTCATGCCAAAACTGTGTGGAAAACTTGAATAAGATTTACTAATGACACAAAAATCTTAAATGGTACATATATATGCCTATACAGCCCTATGATCCACTGAGGCCCTATGCTCCACTGAGGACCTATGCTTCACTAGGAGAGGAAGACAGGAGCAAGTAAGTAAGTATCCTTATTAGTTGCCATTAAAGATTCATATATTGTATAGCAACGAGTCTATCAGGTCTAAATGTGATCTTAGGCAACCAGTGTACCTACCTTACTACTACTCTTATAACAAAATTAATTTTAATTTTGTAGTAATATTTAGAAATGGAATTAGTTTCATGAAATATTTCTGATTACTTAGTTTTATTGCATAGTTTTCAAAATAAATTTAATTAAAATTTAATTATTGTGATTTCTGTGTAAACATTGCAAACGTGTAACACTCGCAAAAATTAGCCATAAATTAAAAACAAAAACAATTATAATTTGTAAACATTTTGTCATAACATATTTATTGCCATATATTTTCTCATATACCATGTTTTCCTTTTACACTGAAAATGTGCAGTTAAGCTCGTATATCGCGGCGATTATGTATATTCCACTCGTTTAAGTTTCATATTCACTCATTTTTTCATTTCTACTCACACCATTTTAAGTTTTCCATTATTGGGATTTTTTCTCTCCATTGTGTGTGGATACATTGTATGAGTGCGGGCATGTATCATACGCTCTGTACTGGAGTATTGTATTGCACACGAGTTGAATATGTTGTTATTGTTGTTCATGTACATATTTTTACATACTCTTATATTTCATAAACGTGTGTATTGCTTGTTTGTATCTGCCGGTTTTTATATGTTTTCTTTTATTTTTTTTTTTCAGCTCCAAAGTGCTTAGACTCCGCCTTCTTTAACATAAACAGCATTTTGGCGCTTCACATGGTAAGTTTTTATTTTGTGATTTACTCTTGCATGCATTTTAGTCATCGTATTCGTAATCGCTTCTCTATATGCTTCAACCAATAAATGATTTGTATTCAAATTGTGTAGATATTTAAAATGATGTACATTATTGTGTATGTAAATATCTCTGACTATATAATATGATTTTAAATTTTGAATTTAAATACATTTTTAACTTATTAAATTTTTTTTAAGTTAGATGAGTTCTAACATATCTATAAGCACTAATTTTTAGTTACTAACTAAAATTAACAACAAATTAATTGTAAAATCAACTTCGTGAATTATTAGTTCAATCACATTTTTATTTAAAAAAAGTCCGTTGATTGTGATTAATAATGAAATTTATTCAAGTTCATTAACAGTTCAATATTTCGATCATTTTATTTAAAGTAAAAATGCAATTGACTTAAGAGCCCCCTCAAAAATTTTTGTAGGAGCCACCATAAGCCTGGTTCTGACACTACAGATGCTTCGGTGTTTGTTCTGCGTGAGCCGGTAGACATGTACTATAGGGAACCCTTTGGGACAAATATTAACGCTACTTTCGACTGATTTCTATGTACTAAGTTAGCGCTTCTACATTTGGAGTATAGTTGGCATGTAGTACTTGATCTGGCACCTAACCTGTAATATAAATACTTTATAAAATCTACAAGGTTTCTGTAATGTAGCTATAATCATCTTTACCTCTTTATAGGAGTGTAAAAACAAGTCTTTTATGTTAAAAAACTTATCTTCATCTGTTAATGATATCAAAAGGAGACATGAAAATAGCTTTTATGTAAAGAAAATAATTAACCTCATTAGTAATTAGTAATTATCTCACTGCATTAATATTTAATGATCATATCGAACATGCAGTAGAGGAAGTGAAACTTTGCAGTGAATACAGTGTCTGTAGCAAGTATCATACAGTAGCAATATAGATGAGTACCATTTTCTTCTACCTCATCTGACAATCAATAGTTATTGAAAAGGGTCCTTAATCGGTCAGCAACAGCCTAAGAAGAAGAACATTAAAGTGAATTATAAATATATTGAAGTTGTGAAAAATCTTTAACCCTAATCAGATCATGTATTATATATTTAGAATATCTTTCATAACGTTTTCTGGAAAGAACAATTGTAAGACGTTTTTGTATAAAAACTTTTGAAGCTATGGTAAACTTAATCAAAGTTTACCATAGCTTTATAAAGGTTTTAATTTTTTTTAATATGTAACATATATAGAATAATAAAATATTATTTATTTGCGCTACATTCTTGGATATAGATCACAGGTGTGCGTTGGTCAAAACTTCAATTTGACATTTATTTTGTTCTGATGTTACGCTAAATGATACTTTAAATGAAGAACTTTAAATTACTTAAACGGAATAAGTATTTATATACAGTTTGCTTCAGGTATTTTAAATTTATTATCTAAAAATTGTTTATATCAATTTCAATAGATATGAGTCAATGGGAACTTATGCAAATATAACATTTGTATAAGTATTATACGTATATGTTTACGTATAAAAAAGTTTTTACTTCGAGGCAAATATTTGATTATTTCTCAATTGACGTATCAAATTACTTCCTCACACGAAAAAGACACTAAAAGTGCACATGTTCAATATTTAATCGACTAAATTCTGAAGTTTTGAATTGAAAAAACCCAATGTAAGATCGTTGATCAAACAAAACAATTGTAATTGTATCTCAACCCCAAGTGGCGCTACACGAAATGGGACAACACATCGCGTTGAAGCAGAATGCTGTGCGCCAGAAAGCGATTATCATCGATTATGGCTATTTTCTATAATTTTCCATGACGATTGCATACGTACAGAAATGCACTGTGTGCTGCAACGTGCCATAAAGTGGATTAAACTCCATGTGATCGGATACGTGCAAAAGTAAATCCATGAAATGTTTGTTTAACTACGTGACCGATAATTCCAGTGCAGATATGTACGAACAACAACATTGAGATACAAATAAGCGCAGAATTTTTCGCTACTTTTAACCTCCCCACACTGATTGTTTCATTATTTGCCATAGATGCAAGGCAAGTAGAGTGGAATAAGTTGAGTGTATTATGGCTACACAACAGAATAAAATCACAAAAGATGCAGGCGCAGCAGGGCAAAAGCTAAATGGACTCACCTTTTGGTAAGTACAAACAATGATAAGATATAAGTTCCAAGTTCAATTGAGTTGGTACGTTTTAATGAAGTTCGGGTTTCACGGTCACGTTTAGATCAAATTTTGCAATAAAAAATTATATACAATCATATGTGAGATGAAAAGCCGAACATATATATAAAACAATTTCATATTTGGATTTTTGGTTATTTTTTTTTTAATATGATTTGTATATTTGGCAAATTTGCTTACCAAAATTTTTAATCATTTTAATTTTTAATCACATTATGTATGAAAAAAAAATGTTGATGACTTTAAAAATTCATTACCTAAGAGTATATAAAATCATGAATAACAAATAAAAACATTATCAGCGTGTTTTCTAAAACTTAGATTCCATTCACACAGAAATTGGATAGATGTCTGATATAGAAAACGCATATTTAAAAAAAAAGCAAATCCCCCATCCTTTAAGTATTGTTAAAGTATTGCATACAGGAATGTACTAAAACCAGTGCTAAATATGCTGAAACAAGTACATATCTACAACATTCAACTGTTAATGCCTCAACATTCAATATCGAAACTTCTCTAAGACTCTTAGAGAAATGGTAAATGCTCCATGGTATGTTACTAACGTCCAAATCCATCGTGACCACAGAATAGCTCCAGTGAAAGATGAAGTTAAGAATGTAGTCAGAAAATACCACGAATGAATATAAATACAGATTTATCATCACAATCTTGCAAGCAATCTTTACAAGGCTGAAAACAAAAATACCGTTCCATATTAACATACATATATAATAAAATCTTATGACGTTTTCGATGAGTAAATCTGTGGTAATTTTTTCAATCGAGATTCACTTAAGACTTATTTTACTTTTCGATTACTAAAACTGGGGCAAAATATATAACACTTTAAATTAATTTATAACACTTTAAATATTTTGTCGGAGTAGCAAGAAACCTTTCTTTGGCCTAATTAAGCAGTATTCACGAAGTGAATACTTTGAAAAGCGGACCAAAGATGGCATTAGCAACGTAGATTGTTGCTGCTCATTTAAGATACCGCGTTTATAATTAGAATAGAACAGAGAAACTGACATACCTACATCGCTCACTGTTTTCTAACACATATGTTGAATTAATATGACAATGTCTTAAAGAAAGCTATGTCCACCAGGAAGAAGTTTCATCCAGCGACTAGAATCATTGGTGTGAATAAAGCAAGTTATTTACCCAAAATTATGTAGAAACATTTCAAACATATTTGTATAGTAATTTATTTTACTTATTTAAAGTAAAATTATAAAAAAATTATTTATAGTAATTAAATATAAACATATTTAATATTAATATTTAATACACATTACAACATATAGCAAAATTTCCATAAAAATTTTTAGAAAATTAAAAAACAGAAAAACTAATCTCTAACAGAAGATTAACATTTTCTCTCACAATTAAACGAATCAAATTGATAATAATCCTTCGCAAATATTGGGGCACAATTCAGTCCACTGACTAAACATTGCCCTCATATCAAATGCATAATTTTGAATCTGACAAGCTCAATTTGTCCTGCACAAAGCGAAACAAAATGCACGAATTAAAATTGTAGAACCACGAACATATATTATAGTGCTCCACTTACCATAGCAATTTGCAAAAACGTGTTCCATATGAGATGCCCGTGTAATATAGATGGCAAACTCATAACGCCACATCGCTACATAATAACGCTACATGATCCGACTATACCTTATGCTAACATTGCATGGCCTGGCATGGCATGCACAGTTTGTACGAGTATTTCACCTTTCCTCGTGTTCATCCAATATTTGGTTATTGCATGAGCTATGCAGTGTTGTTGCTCCATTTGTAATCAGACAATGGACACGGCCACACTTACTTGATCTTTTCTATTAAGCTGGCACCATGAATTTGCATTGTGGCTTAACTTCGAAGGGTTTCTCTGTAGTTGTGATGTGCTTATTTATTTGTTACTCCACGGACAATGGTTCGAGTATACAAATTTTTTCGCATATTAAACTAATTTGGTTACAAGAAAAGTACGACAGAAACGTGACAAAAATATTTGCTATATTCATGCCGGATGTGTTTTAAAACAAATACTATTACTAAATTAATATTCCAAGAGGAAGACAAATTTATAAGGACACTTAATTTTAAATATATCTCTTATCTTTCGCAAATAACTTTCAGAGTTAAGTAGCTTCATTTTTTTATTCTTAATAATTATTTTAAATAACAACTCAATTAATTTCTTTTTATTGGAAAAGAATATTATTAGTATTTATTAGTTCATTACTATATAACTATATACTATATAACAATTTGTCTCTTATAACGAATTTTAGTTTGACACCAAATTCATAACAAACAGTTGAGAACTTATAGAAACTCCATTGGGATTTCTCCAATAGTAGAAATGAGAACTGATACACATTTAAGAAATGCTTGGAAACCTCTGCTATAAGTACTTTTACAATTTATTATTAAAAACTCCCTTTTCCATTTACTGAAATTTTTTCAATAATAGCAGGAGGAACTGATTCAATTTTTATAAGTTTTTTAAAAGGACTTCTTTAAATGTTTTTCTTTTCATTCTTGAAAATTCTGTTTTTTTTAAGCAAATCACTACTGATCCAACTCATTCTTCGCTATCTCTTTTATATTCAAAAACTTTATTATGTTTTTGTTTCCTGTTTTTGCTATGCATTCTTTAAATGTTATGCACGAGAAATAGGGAGGTCTTCTTTTATCTTGAACCCTTTCAGGCTTCAAACTGGCGTCAATTTGTTTTTGGAATATTTTTCAAT